ATGCCCAACAATGTGTTAATTTCCTTAGTGAAATCAAAAAAGAAAAGGTATTTATGATCGTATCAGGTTCCTTGGGTCGTCAGATAGTACCAGAAATCGAAGTATGGCCACAACTGGAAGCAATTTATGTGTTTTGCGGCAACCAATCGGTTCATGAACAATGGGCTAAAAAAATAAGCAAGGTTAAGGGTGTATACACAAAAATAGAACCAATTTGTCAAGCACTTGAAATTGATCGACAACGATGTGATCAAGCTATGATCCCGCTCAGCTTTAATGGACTTGATCCATTATTTATGTATACACAATTGTTAAAGGAAGCACTCTTGGAGATCGAAGATGATGATAAAAAATCCATCAAAGACTTGACTGATTATTGTCGTGAACAGGATGATATTTCTGAAGATCAAATTAAACGTGTTGAACGTGAATATCGTGATCATACACCAATATGGTGGTATACAGCGGAGACATTTATTTATCCCATGCTCAATCGTGGACTCCGACAAATGGATGTCGATATTATCCTGAAAATGGGCTTTTTCATACGTCATTTACATCAACATATTAAAGAATTACATCGTGAACAACAAGGGAACATGCCAGCAAAATTTCAAGTCTTCCGTGGACAAGGTTTGTCCATGGAAGATTTTGAAAAAATGAAAAAAACCAAAGGAGGACTTATGTCCTTCAATAACTTCCTGTCAACAAGTCGTAATCGTCAGATATCTTTCAACAACTTTGCACGACCAGCTACAAACAATCCTAATTCAGTCGGCATCCTCTTTATTATGAACATTGATACGGCTATTTGCACAAAATCATCAACACCATTTGCTGAAGTAAGCAAAGTTGGTTACTACAAAGATAAAGAGGAAGAAATACTATTTTCAACACATGCGATTTTTCGTATCGATCGCATCGAAAGAATTGAAGATAAACATACTGATCGTTTATGGCAAGTTAGTCTCACCATCGTGGGTAATCAAGATGATGAGCTTAACAAACTTACAGCACACATACGCGACGATGTCAACTCGAAAGCACCAAAACGAGGATGGTCACAACTAGCTTTCATACTTCTCAAACTGGGCGAGCCTGCAAAAGCTGAAAAGCTCTACAAGATACTCCTCCCACAGGCAACTTCTGATACGGCTCGAGCAGATTACAACCATAAACTTGGTTGGGCGTATTATGACATGGGCGAGTACTCGAAAGCACTTTCGTCGCATGAACGATCACTTGAAATCCGTAAAATAGCTCTCCCTCCAAATCATCCCGACTTGGCTTCTTCCTACAACAACATCGGGTTGGTGTATTATAACATGGGCGAGTACTTGAAAGCACTTTCATCGCATGAACGATCACTTGAAATCAAGAAAATAGCTCTCCCTCCGAATCATCCCGACTTGGCTGCTTCCTACAACAACATCGGTAATGTGTATAAAGACATGGGCGAGTACTCGAAAGCACTTTCATCGCATGAACGATCACTTGAAATCAAGAAAATAGCTCTCCCTCCGAATCATCCCGGCTTGGCTGCTTCCTACAACAACATCGGTAATGTGTATAAAGACATGGGCGAGTACTCGAAAGCACTTGCGCCGTATGAACGATCACTTGAAATCAAGAAAATAGCTCTCTCTCCGAATCATCCCTCCTTGGCTTATTCATACGACAACATTGGTTTAGTGTATTCTAATATGGGAGAGTATCCAAAAGCACTTTCATCCCATGAAAAAGCACTAAATATCCTAGAAAAAACGCTACAGCCAAATCACCCTGAATTGGCTAGTTGCTACAACAACATCGGCTTGGTGTATGATAACATGGGCGAGTATTCGAAAGCACTCAAATTTCTGCAAAAAGGACTTGAGGTACGACAAATATCACTTCCACCCAATCATCCAAATATCGCACAATCGAAAAGAAACATTGAAAATGTAAAAAAGAAAATGTAATTGTTTTTTTTTTCGTTTTTAAAGAGAAAATAGACTGACCATCTTGAAATCTAAGCTCGCCGAAGCAAGCAGCTGCAAAATTTCGCGCACGCGCGACCAGAGATACCCTCGGTATTCTGCTGGCTCGTACAGTGGACAAAGCCGGCAATGGTTAGGCAAACATACATCGATGTACGTATGAATAGTACAACCATGAACATCATCTTCGAAAAGACGATGACGAAATGGACGCTTCTATTCATACATACATTGATGTATGCTATGAAGGCCTACCATCTGCACGGGTCACCAACAGAACGTCGGAGATCCCTGGGAAGGTTCATTTGTTCTAGAGCCACCCTCAAAAGCTCCATTAGTTAGAAAATTATTTTTGTTTTTCTGTTATGAAGAACGAGAAGTAGAAACGGAAGAAAGAAAAGGTATGAAAACGGAAAGACGCGATAAAAGACGACGTCAAGGTTACGAAATGATAATACGCAGCGCATGATAACAACCGGTGTTTGTCAAGCAATGGAATATTGAATGCACGATATCTTTGTCGTCTTTAAACATTTCATGTTCAATTCGTTTGTGTTTCATCTCGAAAGTGTAACGATCATTTGAATGTCGTGCACTCACCATTCTAGCAAACAAACGATGATTGAATAAAACAGCGCATAGGAACAATACATTCGCCGTCAATTTGCGTAATAACTCATGCACTGTATACATTAAAATACAGATAACGAATAGAAGAAAAGGAAAGTTTTAAATATATTTTTTTTTACACTTTATTAAGATATGTGATGGTTACATTAACATTGATGCGGAAGAAAAACAGATGGCATTTTTCACAGCACCTCTGTTTAAATCTAAGAGAAAAATATACCATTCCATGTGTCGTCATCTAGTTTGTGGAAGAGTGAACACTGCATCTTTCTACCTTGTTTCTATGAAAATTTATTCAAAAGATACTCATTAGGTTTCCGGTTTTAAATGAGCATTAATATAAATATCTCATAGGAAAATAGAGTTTTCATTTTACTATCACTCCAGATAAAAAAGAAAGTTTCCTCTAGATTATTATGCACTATTAGAATTCATCACGTAGAATAATTATTTTACGTTATATATTCATAAAACAATTCTTAATTGAGACAAATATTTAGAATTATTTTCAATTGTTATTTCATCTTAAAGTACTTTTTATTAGAAGAAAAATGACTATGTGGAAATTGTTAATATTTACTCTTCGATTGAGAAAAATCTGTTCCATATAATATCTATTTTCTACGAAATATAATTAACAAATTTCATAATTATTTTATGTAAATAATTAAATTTTCGTTTCGAAGAAAAATACTTTTCTTTTAAACTTGAACAAACTTTTGAACAAAATCTATATTTTTTTTATCGAAAACGATTAATAAGTGGATGATGTTGATAAAATAAAAATTTTTTCACGTATATCTCTAACACTAACAGATTAATCCAGAAAAAGAGATGTTCAATTTTCCTCTACTTTTATTTAGAATTACGAAATCATTTTTTCACATTCTATTTCGATTAATATTAACATATTTCGATCGATTTTTATGTTTCTCAATAGGGTTCCATACAAGAAAACCAAATTCTCTTATTTATTAAATAAGGTCATATAAGAAAATACGTATATAGGATTGATTGAAAGACTTTTCTAATTCAAGACATAATAAATTTAATAATTATTTGCTACATTCACAATCAGCCCTCAATTTCAGTTATACATGAGCAAAATTTCTATAAATAAAAAGTACATATATAATAAAGACTTTTGTTTCATTTAAATACAATGCATAATAAAATTTGAATTAAAAAATAAAATGATCGTTTTATTAATATATATATATAATACCCATTAGTTAGATCATTTATGAAAAAATAACAATTGTGGATATGTACAACAGATCATCTTCTGCTTGTCGTCTTTATTGATGCACATCAAATATAAGGATATATTATTTATGAAAATCAAATTCTGCACTGTAAAATGTAATCTTGAGTTTTGGTAACTCTAATCAACAATGGCGCTTAAGTTTTTGGCTTAAAACTAATAACTGATGTGTGTCCGAAAACAAGAATCATCGTCAGATATACAATAACTCCTCAACAGAAACAGATAGTAACCCAGAAATTTCAATAGCTGAAAGAGGAGAACTCTATCGGACATCGTTTTATCTGATACTAAGTGCTGTGTAGCATGATTTTCAAAATAGATCGTTAGTGTAGAACATTAAATTGAACAACTTCGCATAAATTTTTGTCTTTAAAATTTACTTGAAATGAAACAATTTTCTCATATATGTTTTTGAATGTTTTACAAGGAGTATAGATTTTGAAATATTTTTCTCTTTAATACTATCAGATGAAAAGACTTCTAATAGAGTTCTCTTTGTTCAATGGTTGTGAAAGGCACAAGCAACTGGCAATTACTGTTGTCTGGGTGTGAGTGTGGATCTGGCTCTGGCGCTGACTCTTGCTGTGGGTTAAGAGCAGTACGTCATGACGTCCATGCCCACACACTAATTCGTTTTTCAACCACCAATCAATGATATATACTCAATTGATGATGATATTCAATACAGTAGTCACTTATACTCTAGTCCTTCATTTTTATTTTTTCAGTTTTCTTATGAAAAGAAATTATCTGACTAACCTATATTTCTATAATGAAGGAATACTTAATTTTTGTGTGAAAGATGAAATTTTATTTTCGTCTCTGATTAAAAAAAAATTCGTATAGCAAGAATATAAAATATCCTTGAGAAATCGGTAACAAACGAAAGAAAAAAAGAATGTATGCTTTTGTTTTGTTCTTAAATAAGCACGTTTTTTTTTGTTGTTTTGATGACAGTTGTTTTCATTTCTTTTTCTTTCTTCGCATGTTGTGGCGTTCTGTTTTTAAAATCTCTTCTCGAAAACGAATTTGATCAAATTATGACATTCTATAAGAACAAAAGACAAAACCAAAAAAAAAAATTTTCTCTCAGTAAAAGAACTAATTCAACGAATAAATTCATCATGACTTAGTTTTGTTTCGACCATAGTGAAGACAGTCGGGAGAAGTTCAAATATGTGAATATCTTTTATAGAATTGAATATATATTTACATGAACATCAATAATGATTCTTTTTAAAACTCGTACTTCAAAAAAATAGAAAATTTTGTTCGCGTCTATAATAGGTTCTTGCTTTTGAAATTTTTAAACGACTCCTTCTATTACTATCAACAAGAAACGTTCTTCTTGCAAAAATGAGTTTTTAGAATTATTGATTTTTATTTAACATCATCTTACATATAATGTATTAAATCACATCATTTTCTCTAAAATACTTCAGACAATAAAAGAAATTTTGATCGAACCGAAAAAAAACAGATTTTCCTTATGTAATAGATTAAATTGAAATGCTATTCAAGTTAAGATTTAAAATATAGGAGTTTCATAAATATTAATAGAAACAATGATACAAGTTTTTCGGAAACAATATGCATACGAAGTATGTTGGTTAAATTGAATTTTTTTTTACAAGCTCAAACTATCAATGGTTGCTGGATGCCCAGAAGTACACTTCATTTTTGGACATCATCTGTTTTCCATTAGAATGAATATTCTTCCAAATTTTCAGATAAAATCTCGATCAATGACGAACAAACAGTTTACTAATTGAAATAGGTATTATTAGGATATGTATTTTTCTGATTATTCGAATCATTTCCATGATGACTGCATGACTATTCTTACAACGCACGGAACTGTTTTTATTAGGTTATGCATGTTTCAATTATGATAGAGTTGAAGTGTTGAAGAAAACCTATTGTACGTGTATCAGGACACGACATATTGTTCGTCTGTACACATATCTGTTTGATTAAATTCCTCATTAAAACGATATGAAATCGACGGTTACGTTCATTTCCCTCATTGTTCAAGTGTAATGTATAAGGACGATTCATATGTCATGTGCTTGTTACTGAATGGTAGGAAAAAAGAATCGTTGTCTGAGGAGATGATTGCTGTCTCTGTAAACATAAAAGAAACACATTAAAATTGAAAGGAAAACGAATAGATAATACACTTAAATCCAAATTCTTAGTTTATCATTGTTCTTCCATTCAAACTGCAAAAGAAGAAAGATGCGAATAGCAACTACAGAAAAATAATTCTTAGTTATTGTCTTCTTTTTTATATAAAGGGTTTTGAAATCTTTTGTAGGAAGAAATACAGAAAGAGATTTTCAAATATACTTCATGAAACTGTTTTGAAACTTTATGTTGATAATCGTTCAAGTGAAAGCTTTATCAATGATTCGAAAGATAGTGTTTCATGTTGTTGATCTTGACGTGAAAACTCGAGCTTTTTTAATGAAAAACTCTCGTTTCATTACAAAAACTAATTAATTCAATTCATTATCAAAATCTAAAAAGTCATGTTTTTCTATGAGAATTCACTTTCAGTTGAAATATCTTTCAGATATTAAAACATTTATACTCATGAAACTTTGTTTCATTCTTCTCTATTAATCATTTTTGTTGTTCTCGAGGAAAAATCTTCGTAATATCCGAGAATAGTTTTTCTAGGATAAGACAAAATTTTCTTGATCATTGACATCAATTATGAGTAGACAATAAATCTATTGAAAGAACAACTTTTATCCATCCAGTTTGAATGACAATTGCATAAAATTAAGAATGTTTTCGATATTAAGCATGTTCTGTAGATATCGGAATATTTTTTTGTAAAATAACCACAAAAAATTGTCAATGACATGTATTTAATTACATTGACAAATTCTAAGAAATACTAATGAATATATTAAAAAAAGGCATGCTGAGGTAGATGCTTCAGAACGATGAATTCCACGCAAATTATAGAGCTAATAATGCAGTATATATTATTTCTTCTCTTAGTTTTCGAGATCTCTGTATAGACAAGAAAACCTATTCATTTAACACATTTTAAATAGAGAGCCGTGGTTCTAAA